TTGATAAATTCATATGATACCCTTATGTGATTTTCTTTCTTTTCCTTTTTCGTCATTTCTTTTTTTTTTGTTTTTACCTTTTTTTTAATTAGATAAATATTGTAAGAAAAAAGTCAATGGAGGTAGTGATGACAAAACAACTCGTATCCCATGGTTTTCGATTCACCTTGATCCAATAAGTAATTTTTTAAAAATTGGGATTAGGATGGAGTTTTTTCTTTTTGAAATCAAAGTCGAGTCAGAGACAAGTTTAAGGTATTTCATAAAAACGTATTTTATTATTTATTTAATTATATATTTTATTAATAAAGTTATTATTTAATACTATAATTTAACAAAATACTATAGTTATACATAATTAAAACGTAATTTATATTAAAAAATAATGTTTTATGAACATTATATTTAGTTAAAATTATTAAATTAATTTTAGATCAATGCAAGTCAGATGTGAGCTAAACATATATATGTTGGGTCAAGATCAAGGATTAAAAAAAAAAAAAAAAAAACTCAATTTAAGGTTAGATTATGAGTTGAGTTGAATTATTAAAAAACGAGTTGAAGTCAAGTGAACGTAAACTGGCCCCAACCAAACCTGTTGTGATCCTTAAATGGTAGTGTTCATTGTGACACCTTCATTTGGCTTATTTTTTCTTGGGCCTTTACTTATTCTTTTTTTAATTGTCTAGTTAGTATTTCTTATCATATTTTGAAAGATAAATGGTAATAAAAGTTTTTATGTGGCACTACCATTTGGCTTTTTTTTTTTCTTTGATCATTCCGGTTTTTTCCTTTTTTAATAAGATAAATTTTGTAAAAAAAGACAAATTGGATTAATGGAGATAGGATAACAAACCAATCTGTATTCGATGAATTTCTACCCTCAAATCCATTAGGGACATTTTTATAATCAAAATCAACTTGGACTAGGATGGTTTTCCTTTTTTGAAAATTAGGATCAGGTTAGAGGTGGATTTATAATGCCCATCTCGTATCGTCCCAAGATATATATAAGAATATATTTTATTATTTACTTAATTTTATATTTATATATGCATTATATTAAAAATATTATTATTTAATACCTTAATTTAATTAAATATTATAGTTATATATAATTAATTTGTAATTTATATTGAAAAATAATATTTTCATGAATGTGATATTATTGAATTGATTTTGGATGAAGTCTAGTCAAATACGGGTTATATATATATATATATATATATATACATCGGGTTAGGTCGAGTATACAAAAGTAATAACTGACATCAAGTTGGCGTCGGGATTAGCATAAACTCACTTTTACCTAACTCGTTACCATCCCTAAATAGAGGTGTACATGTGACATCTTTATTTGGCTCTTTTTTTAGTTTTAGCTTTTTTATTGTTTATTTTTTAATTGTCTATTTTAATTTTTAAAATATGTTTGAAAAAATAAATTTGAAAAGGTGAATTTAATTTGATTTGTTATATAATTATGAAATAAAAGGCATACATTATGCATAAAATTAATTGATAAATTTGCACTCATCATTACTTCTATTAGAAAATTATAAACGAATTATACTCACTGATTTATTAAATTAATCATGAGTATTATTAACTATAAATTAAAAAAATTGGATCTGTAGTAAAATGCAAACTTAATTTCTATAAGGTCAAATTATGCTATAGGTCTTTGTATTATGCCAAAATTTAAAATTTAGTCATTGTATTATGATTCATACAAATTTAGTCTTCATACTTTTTCTAATTGGATAATCTTAGTCTAATCACTAACTCTATTAAATTTTTGCTATTAAAAATACTAACATGGCAATTAATTTAATAACGTGGCCATTGACTTAATGATATATGCATTGAATTTGTTGACGTGGTAATATTAATATATGAAATCAATTATTAAATTATACAAATGGTTTATGTACTTACACGAAATTTGAACTTTAGTCTCTTAAGTATAATTCATAAAAAACTCATATACGTACAAGTTGAATTTGATAATGTTGATCTAATTACCAGTAAAAATCATTTATTTTTATTTTTTGAAATTTAAATTTAAATTTAAAAATATCAATATTTTGAATTTTTAGAAAATTTTTTCATATTGTAAAATATTAAATTTAATAATTTTTAAACATTTTAGTTTTTCAAAATCGTATTTTTAGATTTTTTTAAAGCATATTTATTTTTTAAAAAATTAAATATTTTGAATTTTTAGATATTTTCATGATTTTTTTAAGTAGTAAAAATTTAATTTTGTCAATATTTTAAATTTTTTTAAATAAAGTTCCTTTTTTGGAAGTTTGTATTTTTTTTCAAAGTTTAATATTTTAGTTTAGTCAAAATATTTAATTTTTTGCTTTTAGTTTTTTAGAATTCTTTTAAAATTTTCTATATTTTTAATCTTTTTTTCTCTTTAGAAATTTTCTATATTTATTAGTATTTAAATGAAATATAAATAAATTATGGAGAAGGCACGATTTTTTAAAATTTGTTATGTTTTAATATATTTGAGGAAGAGCATAAAAATATAAGGTAAAACAAAGGAATGACAAGCACGGAGAGCTTCTAATTGCAATTTATTATTCACTTAAATAAATAAAAATATTTTAAAATTTATAAACTCTTTTTAAAAAATAAAAAAATTAAACGTTAATAAAAAATAAAAATTTAAGACTATGGAAAACTTTATAAGAAATTCTAAAAATTAAAATTAATAAAATTAAATATTTAGATTAAATAAAAATGTTAAAATTTGAAAAAAAAAACAAACTTTCAAAAAAAAAAGAAATTTTAGAAAAATTAAAATATTGAAAAAATAAATTTAATATTTTTAAAAAATCAAGAAAATTTCCAAAAAGTCAAAATGTTAATATTTTTTTTAAAAAAAATTTGATTTTAAAATAAATAAAAAATATGAATTTTTTTAAATTTAAAAATATCAAATTTAATAGTTTAAAAAAATGAAAAAGTTCTAAAAAATTCAAAATAATAATTTTTTAGAATTTTGAAATATGATTTTTTAGAAATTCAAAAAATATGAATTTTATTGGTAATTAGATCAATATTATCAAATTCAACTTATTTGAAGATGAGATTTTTATAAATTATATTAAAAAAACTAAAATTCAAATTCCATGGGACTATAGGAACTGCTTTCATAATTTGACTATTGGTTTCATTCATTAGGTTGCAACATAAATAAAGTCAACATTATAAATACTATGTTAACAAAGTCAATATTTCATCAAGTCAATTGTCATGTCAAAATTTTAATATTAAAAATTTAACAAAATTAATGATTGAACTAAAATTATCAAATTTAAATAATATGTGAATTAAATTTATATGAATTACAATATAATATCTAGGTGTCCAGCATCCGTCAATTACATGATGTGTTGACAATTGTTAATTAAATGCTATAATTTTCATATTTTAATTTATAGTTGAAAACCCGTAACACTTCACTATGATGGAACTAGTTGAATGAGCAACATGATCAATAAAAAACAAAATTTAAGTTTTTAATGGCATATTTTTAAAATTTAAGTATAAATTTGAATTGTTTTAGAGTTCCAATACCAAATGCATCATTAACATAAGAAACAATGGTAATAATATTAAGGTTATATTTAGTACACAAAATTATGATATAATAGGATAAAATAATATTATGAATATAATTAGATTAAATAATATCATCTTATCTTATGTTTGATATATACAAATATTAAAATAAAATAATTTATTTATTAATCAATATTATCTTTTCTCAAAGTTTATGTAATTTAAATTATTAATATAATTTTTAAAGGTATAATAAAATATGTAAATTTAATCTCATAGATTAAAAATAATCCTCTTTAATTTAGGATGATTGAATCATCCTATATTAAGAGAAAGATAATTCTCTTTCTAATCTCATCCCTTTCAATTAGATACAAACCAAACATAATATAATATGATTATCATATTATCCTATTAATTATTCTATGTACTAAACATGACCTATAATCTCGATATTCCACTGTAATATACTTCACTTAATATGATAATAAATTATTATATCTATTTATGGTACCTTTCTTTTTAATTTTTATTAGCGTTCCACTGGTTTCATTATAGCATTATATTGTATGTATGACATATATTTATTTTCCAATATTATATATATGTGGTCAACAAGTCGGTTCTTGTCATATCATGTGTATCGTATATATATTTTTAATAGAAATCCTTTACAGTTTGAGACTGTGTTTTGGATTTTCAGTTGGCATTGCTCTGTTGTACACGGAGATGAAGGATATTGTGATTAAGAAACTATCGTCACGCTCTCTAAGGAGTATATGGTACAAATGGGAGCTTCGGGGGCTGGTTGTGCTCAGTGTCACGGACCTAAGTAAGAGTCTTGAATCACACATCGAACATAATAGGAGGGTCCTTGGGATATAAAAGGGTTCACACCACCTCCGCCTTGTGAGTCACCTTTTGTAGGACAAAACCGTGAGGTCATGGGGGCCAGAGCGGATAATACCTCACAAGGGTGTGAACCGTGACGGTCAGACTGATTCGGGACGCCGGAAGGGTGAATGCCCGGGTCCCGGAGCCGCGCGGGTTCGGAGCTTAAGTATCGACTCGTGACAAGTGGTATCAGAGCCAGCCCTAAACCGTTCGATCCATGCCGAACACCTCGAGGGAGGTAGGCAGGGTGGCCGGCCTCCGTAACAAGGGCGTCACGAGATTGGATGCTGGAGAATGTCACGGACCTAAGGAAGAGTCCTGAATCCCACATCGAACATAATAGGAGGGTAAGGGTTCACACCACCTCCACCTTGTGAGGCGCCTTTTGTAAGACAAAACCGTGAGACCATGGGGGCCAGAGCGGACAATACCTCACAAGGGTGTGAACCGTGGCGGTCAGGCTGATTCGGGACGCCGGAAGGGTGAATGCCCGAGTCCCGAAGTCGCGCGAGTTGGAGCTTAAGTCTCGACTCGTGACACTCAGCCTGTTTCTTCAAATTGTACTCGTCATATTCGGGAATCGACGGAAGTATAGCGGCAAGCGTTCATACCATGTAGCAATGCTTGTTTGGTTAACGTACTTGTTGGCAGACTATGTGGCAACCGTGGCGTTGAGTACCCTCCTTAAGAGCAGCAAGGAGGAAATAACCAGTTCACTGGTTGCATTTTGGGCGCCATTCCTTCTCTTGCATCTTGGTGGCCCTGATACTATCACTGCTTACTCCTTAGAAGACAACGCGCAGTGGATGAGACACTTGTTCGGGTTATGCGTCCAAGTTGGAGTGGCCTTCTATGTCTACTTCAGGTTTTGGACCAATTCTGCTCACACATTTATAGGAATTCCAATATTCATAGCCGGAATAAACAAGTACGGAGAAAGGAATTGGATTTTGCGGTCTGCAAACTACGAACAGTTCAAGAATTCCTTATTTGCAACTCGTAAAGTAGAAAACATTGAGGAAGAAGTTGGCCTTGGAATGGAGGAAGAGGTCGAGCAGCTCAAGGACTATTTAGTTCACAACCGGATTCTTGAAAAATATAGATATCTTCATCAAGCATATCTATCATTTCAGCTTTTCAAGCCCCTGTTTTCAGACCTCAAGTTGAGGGTATACAAAGAGTTAATGAGTTCCATATATACATTGCCATGCACCAATGATCAGGAAAATCTCAAACTGGTTGCCACTGAACTAGGATTTTTGTACGATGTCCTCTACACAAAGGTTCCCATAATGCTATCTCCGGTGGGTGTAATTCTACGATGCATCTGCTTTTCATCTACCGTTTCAGCGTTGACCGCCTTCACGATATTTGTTTCTAAGTCGGGCTACCCGAAAGTTGACATTGCCATAGCCTATTTGCTGCTCGTTGGAGCTATCCTTCTGGAATTTTATTCTGCCGTTGTGCATGTTCTCTCTGAGTGGACAATGCTCTGGTTGACGAAAGGTGGAAACAAGTTTAGGTATCAGGCAATTGCATCTAACTGGTTGCTCCATATTAAGAAGGGCAAGAAGGTAGGAATGAAATCGTTGGCACAACACAGCCTTTTGAGTTATTGCACTAAGCTCAACAAATCTAAATCTATGTTTAAAAAAATAATAAGGATTTTTGACACTGATGACACTTTGATGAAATTCAGGCATACTACCTGGGAGAATGTGGATAGTTATTTGACTGAATTCATCAGTGATCACATTGAAATGAGGTTCAATAAATATGCAGCAATGGGGAACAAGATCGATGTACTCTCTTCCCTATTGGGTGAAAGAGGAAATAGCGGGATTACTGGGACAGACCCTGAATTAAAACTCAGTTGGACCATAAACGAGGTTGAATTCACACACAGTATTCTTCTTTGGCACATCGCTACCGATATTCTTTTCTATCTTCAACGTCCTGGTAATGTCGGTCCGTATGGCCAGATTAGCAAGCGCTTATCTGATTACATGATGTACCTCCTCTGTATGCGTCCATCTATGCTTCCTGAAGGTATAGGTCAGGTACGACACCGGGAAACCTGCAAGGAAGCAATGAATTTTTTACCAAGGGGTTTAACAATCACTGAAGCTGCCAGAGTACTATTTCTTAGTGAGAATCTTGATGACGAATCTCGATCGTTATTTCTTGCGATAGGAGGTCAAAGGAAGTCGGTGTTTTTTGATGGATGCGTGCTCTCCCGAAAATTGGTAATGTTGGTAAAGCAATTTCGATGGGATGAAGAAGAAAAATGGAAAATGATTGCTAGCGTGTGGGCGGACATGCTGACTTATGCTGCATCGCACTGTGCATGGAGAGAGCATGCCAAGCAACTTAAGCAAAGTAAGGAGCTGCTCACTCACGTTGCCCTTCTCATGGCACATCTTGGTTTGAGTAGGCATATCGAAATGGCTGAACTTTCGGATGACCTTAAAAGCGAGCACCATAAGCCCCCTTGGCGTTGGGATAAGCTTCATCAATTGGCTTATTACTTGGCTTAATTAATTAAGATCATATATATATATAAAATTTCCTTGTTTTCTTCTTTAGATTAAGGTGAAAACAGTAATAATAAATTTAAAAGCTTCCATTTCTTTCCTAATAAATACTTTTCTTATGATAAAAATTTATAATAGGCCACCTTTTTTTCTAATTCCCCAAAATATAAATATCATTGTCGTTATGTTTGTTACTTTTTTTTTTTTTGTTCAAAAGGACACCTAGACAGGGAACTTCTCTTTTTCTTTCTTTTTCCTTTTGTAAAGAAGAGAAGAGAAGAAAACAAAGAGAATAATTTAAGAAAAAAGTAAATTCTTTTGAAAATAATTACCAAAAATAGTGATGATAGAATTTAAAATAAATTAAGTGTTTGATCACATGATGTTTTGAAAATTTTTTTTGATTATCTTTTCCCCAAGGTATAATGATATAGAATGCTTAATGATAAGTTTGCTTATGTCAAGTGATTATAACATTTTTTAAAAATTAAATTATTAAAATAAAAAAATCAAAATTTTAAATATTATAAATAATAATTCGCTAATTTATTATATTTGAATTTATCATAATTTGAATCCTAATTACTTAAACTAACATGTATCCTTTATTTATTTGAAAGAAACTTTTTTTTAATTAATACTTATCTAAATATAACGTAAGACTACAATAATTAGTGGAAATAAAATTATAAACCTTAAAAAAAATATATAGTATTTGCAGAGCATATTGAAGTCAGTTTATATGTTCTTTGAAGATTTTATCTTGGTTTCAATCAAAACTTGGAAAGGGAATATTAGAGTCCGAAGATATAAATGAAAAATCAGCTTTAGCTACAAATTCGTGGAGATGAAAGTCTAGGAACTCACAAAATGTTGCTATGTATTTGTTGGTGAAGGATATCGAAAAAAAGGGCAAAGGAAATTCTTTGCTTCATGTCTCGCAAAATTAATACTATACCATTTTTCATTAACAAGACAAAGGACATGTGTTGCATATCGTACGGTAATCCTCCTCCAACTCTATAAAACAAACTGGTGGTTAGAAACAAAATTGTTATGGAATTCTAGACTTGTCTTTGTTACCTTTCTGAGAAATTCGTTACACTCAATTTTTTTTTTAATTTCTATTTGGCATGTACTTTTGGTTTGTAGATCCATTCAAGCCTTAGCAAGCAGAAGCTAAGAACAAAGCAAAAGCAGAAGCAGGTGTGCCCTCGCTCTTTAATGTTTAGATCAGTCCATTAGTCGAGTTACCATCCGACCAGCGAGTTTAGCTTAATTCAAAATCGAGCTCTCTGCACGCAAGTTTTGTAGTTTGGGTTTGGTCCAAAAATTTATTTTATTAATGAATTTGATTTTTTTATTTAATTTTAATTCTAAAATACATAATAAATTTTTATATTTTTTAAAATATTTTAATATATTTTTAAAAATTGGAACTTTTGATGCTGGGCCAAGTTAAATATTAGGTAGGATTTTAACTTTTCAATGACCATCGGGTTTGGCTTTCTTTAACCTACTGATTCATGAACAATTTAATAACAATATATCTTTATCATTATTTTTATTTATTTTATTAATTGAATAAATATGTTGATATAGATAAGTAAGTAATATGGAAACAATACAAATATTTTGTATGTATGGATATAAATTTTTCTTAATCAAATTATATTATAAAAAAGTTTATTTATGGATAAATTCTTGAAGAAGTTTGACACTTTATATTCAATATGTATTTTTATTTATTTATTTATTTTTACATCTGAAGATGATATCTATCTTATCATAGAACTAATTTAGTAATTACTCATGTTGCTACTTAATTATGCATAATTGCAGCCAATCGTAAAGTCGAAGGGTTGAGTTCCAACTCGCAACTCGCAAAACTGAGCGTCAAACAGGGATTCGGTGTGCATCTGGTTCCTACTTGGCAACCACCTTCGTCATGCTACTCACAAGTATCAACCCATCCTTTTTTTTTTCTTTTTATATTTGTTTGGAGTTTATATTTATTGTTTGGGCTTAGTGTTTGGAGTTTTTTTTTTTTTGGTAATATATTTTTTTTTGGTTTTGAATTTATTTTTTATTTTTAATTAGATTAAATTTTATAAAACAAATACTAATATATAGATGATAAAATAATTAATATTTAAAGAGTTTCGATTCACGCTAGTTTAATAAGTGCTTTTTAAAAAAAAAATTTGAAGTCGGATTATTTTTTTTTAAATAAAGATTGGATCAAAAGTAAGTTTAGGATGTTCGATTTCACCTCGGGTATATATAAAAATAAATACTTTATTATTTATTTAATTTTATATTTATTTATATTATATTAATAAAGTTATTATTTAACACATTAGTTTAATAAATTCATATGATACCCTTATGCGATTTCCTTTCTTTTGTGTTTTTACTTTTTTTTTAATTAGATAAATATTGTAAGAAAAAAGTCAATAGAGGAAGTGATGACAAAACAACTCGTATCACATGGCTTTTTTTTTTTTAGTTTTAGTTTTTTTATTTTTTATTTTTAATTGTCTATTTTAGCTTTTTTTAATTATGTTTGGAAAAATAAAATTGAAAAGGTGAATTTGATTTGATTGTTATATAAGTTATGAAAATAAAAGGCATACATTTTGCATAAATTAATTGATTAATTTGCACTCATCATTACTTTTATTAGAAAATTATAAGCGAAATTATATTCAATGATTTATTAAATTAACCATGACTATTATTAACTATAAATAAAAAAAAAAATTGGATCTTAAGTAAAATGTAAATGTAATTTCTATAAGGTCAAATTATGCTATAGGTCCTTGTATTATGCCAAAATTTAAAATTTAGCCATTTTATTATGATTCATAGAAATTTAGTCCTTATACTTATTTTGATTGGATAATCTTAGCTTAATCACTAACTCCATTAAATTTTTGCTATTAAAAATACTAACATGGCAACTAATTTAATGATGTAAGCTATTGACTTGATAACATAAGCATTGACTTTGTTGCTGTGGTAACATGAATATATAAAATCAATTATTAAATTATGCAAATGATCCATGTACTTATACGAAATTTGGAACTTTAATTCATAAAAATCTTGTCCACGGACAAGCTAAATTGGATAATATTGATCTAATTACTAGTAAAATAATTTCTTTTACTTTTTAAAAATCAAAATTTAAATTTTAAAAAATCAAAATTTTGAATTTTTAGAAAATTTTTTCATATTGTAAATATTAAATTTAATAGTTTTAAATATTTTAGTTTTTAAAAATCATATTTTTAGATTTTTTAAAAAGCATATTTTTATTTTTTTAAAATTAAAATTTTGAGTTTTTAGATATTTTCATGATCGTTTTAAATAGAAAAAATTTATTTTGCCAAATTTTAAATTTTTAAATGAAGTTCCTTTTTTGAAAGTTTGTATTTTTTTTCAAAGTTTAATATTTTAATTTAATCAAAATATTTAACTTTTTTGTTTTTATTTTTTTAGAATTCTTTTAAAATTTTCTATATTTTAAATCTTTTATGTTCTTTAGAAATTTTCTATATTTTTTAGTATTTAAATGAACTATAAATAAATTATAGAGAAGGCACGAGTTTTTAGAATTTGTTATGTTTTAATATATTTGAGGAAGAGCATAAAAATATAAGGTAAAACAAAGGAATGGCGAAGCACAAAAAGCTTCTTATTGCAATTTATTATTCACTTAAATAACATAAAAAATATAAATTTTTTTAAAATTTTATAAATTCCTATTAAAAAATAAAAAAAAATTTAAAAATTAATTAAAAAACATAAAAATTTAAAAATATGGAAAATTTTATAAGAATTTCTAAAAAAATAAAATTAATATAATTAAATATTTAGATTAAATAAAAATGTTAAAATTTGAAAAATACATAAACTTTCAAAAAAAATTAGAAAAATTAAAATATTGAAAAAATAAATTTAATATTTTTAAAAAAACAAGAAAATTTCTAAAAAGTCAAAATGTTAATCTTTTTTTTTTTAATCTGATTTTAAAATAAACAAAAAATATGATTTTTTTAATTTAAAAATATCAAATTTAATAGTTTAAAAAAATGAAAAAGTTCTAAAAATATTCAAAATAATAATTTTTTAGAAATTTGAAATATGAGTTTTTAGAAATTCAAAAAATATGATTTTTATTAGTAATTATATCAATATTATCAAATTTGACTTATTTGGAGATGAGATTTTTATTAATTATATTAAAAAAACTAAAGTTCAAATTTCATGGGACTATGAGAACTATTTTCATAATTTGACTATTGGCTTCATTGATTTAGGTTGCGACTTCAATAAAGTCAACATTATCAATGCCATGTTAACAAAGTCAATACTTATTTCATCAAGTCAACTGTCACGTCAAAATTTTTAATATTAAAAATTTGATAGAATTAATGACTGAATTAAACTTATCAAATCAAAATAATATGTAAACTAAATTTATATGAATTACAATATAATATCTACATGTCCATCATCCGTTAATTACATGATGTGTTGACAATTGTCAATTAAATGCAATAATTTTCGGATTTTAATTTATTGTTGAAAACCCATAACACTTCACTATGATGGAACTAGTTGAATGCGCAATATGATCACTAAAAAACAAAATTTAAGTATTTAATGTCATATTTTTAAAATTTAAGTATAAATTTGAATTTTTTTAGAGTTCAAATACCAAATGCATCATTAACATAATAAACAATGGTAATAATATTAAGGTTATATTTGGTATACAAAATTATGATGTGACAGGATAAAATGATATTATGAATAAGATTATATTAAATAATGTCATCTTATCATATGTTTGATATATTTAAGGATTAAAATAAAATAATTTACTTATTAATCAAAATTATCCTTTCTCAAAGTTTATATAATTTAAATTATTAATATAATTTTTAAAGGTATAATAAGATATGTAAGTTTAATCTCATAGATTAAAAATAATCCTCTCCAATTTGAGAAGATTGAATCAATCTATATTAAGAGGAGGATAATCCTTCTAGTAATCCAAACCCTTTCAATTAGATACAAATCAAACATAATATATAATAATTATCATATTATCCTATCAATCATTCTATGTACTAAACATGACTTATAATCTTAATATTATACTATAATATACTTCACTTAATATGATAATAAATTATTATATCTATTTATGGCATTTTTTGTTAATTTTTATTAGCGTTCCACTTATTTCATTAGAGCATTATATTGTATGTATGACATATATTTATTTTCCAATATTATATATATGGTCAACAAGTCGGTTCTAGTCATATCATGTGTATCGTATATATATTTTTAATAGAAATCGTTTACAGTTTGAGACTGTGTTTTGGATTTTCAGTTGGCATTGTTCTGTTGTACACGGAGATGAAGGATATTGTGATTAAGAAACTATCGTTACTCTCTCTGAGGAGTGTCTGGTACAAATGGTAGCTCCGGGGGTTGGTTGTGTTAAGCCTGTTTCTTCAAATTGTACTCATCATATTTGGGAATCGACGGAAGTATAGCGGCAAGCGTTCATACCATGTAGCAATGCTTGTTTGGTTAACGTACTTGTTGGCAGACTATGTGGCAACCGTGGCGTTGAGTACCCTCCTTAAGAGCAGCAAGGAGGAAATAACCAGTTCACTGGTTGCATTTTGGGCGCCATTCCTTCTCTTGCATCTTGGTGGCCCTGATACTATCACTGCTTACTCCTTAGAGGATAGCGCGCTGTGGATGAGACACTTGCTCGGGCTATGCGTCCAAGTTGGAGTGGCCTTCTATGTCTACTTCAGGTTTTGGACCAATTCTGCTCACACATTTATAGGAATTCCAATATTCATAGCCGGAATAATCAAGTACGGAGAAAGGAATTGGATTTTGCGGTGTGCAAACTACGAACAGTTCAAGAATTCCTTGTTTGCAACTCGTAAAGTAGAAAACATTGAGGAAGAAGTTGGCCTGGGTATGGATGAAGAGGTCGAGCAGCTCGAGGACTATTTAGTTCGCAACCAGATTCTTGAAAAATATAGATGTCTTCATCAAGCATATCTGTCTTTTCAGCTTTTCAGCTTTTCAAGCCCCTGTTTTCAGACCTGAAGCTGAGCTTATACAGTGAGTTAATGAGTTCCATATTTGCATTGCCATCCACCAATGATCAGGAAAATCTCAAATTGGTTGCCACTGAACTAGGATTTTTGTACGATGTGCTCTACACAAAGGTTCCCACAATGCTATCTCCAGTGGCCGTAATTCTACAATGCATCTGCTTTTCATCTACTGTTTAAGCGTTGACTGCCTTCACAATATTTGTTTCAAAGCCGGGCTGCCCGAAAGTTGACATTGCCATAGCCTATTTGCTGCTGGTTGGAGCTATCTTTCTGAAATTTTATTCTGCCGTTGTGCATGTTCTCTCTGAGTGGACAATGCTCTGGTTGACGAAGGTGGAAACAAGTTTAGGTATCAGGAAATTGCATCTAACCGGTTGTTTCGTATTAAGAAGGGCAAGAAGGTAGGAATGGAATCGTTGGCACAACACAGCCCTTTGAGTTATTGCACTACGCTTAACGCATCTAAATCTATGTTTGAAAAAATAATAAGGATTTTTGACACTGAGGACACTTTGATGAAATTCAGGCGTACTACCTGGGAGAATGCGGATAATTATTTGACTGAATTCATCAGTGATCACATTGAAATGAGGTTCAATAAATATGCAACAAGTGGGTACGAGATCGATGTCCTCTCTCAACTATTGGGTGAAAGAGGAAATAGCGCGATTACTGGGAAAGACGATCGCTTAAAACTTAGTTGGACCATAAACGCAGTTGAATTCACACACAGTATTCTTCTTTGGCACATCGCTACCGATATTCTTTTCTATCTTCAACGTCCTGGTAATGTCGGTCCGTATGGCCAGATTAGCAAGCGCTTATCAGATTACATGATGTACCTCCTCTGTATGCGT